ACTATGTATTAGTGATGGGTGCTGTTTGTCCATTTTCAGCCCATACTTCATGGGTTTGTTTTGGTATCTTCCCACCTGATCCATTGCCACAAGACAGTCCTTCAATTATCTTACTATGCGAAGTATGTCAAAAAATCCATCAGAAATGCACCCATTTTAAAGTTGGCTCATCTTTAGCTATTTATTATAGACTGTATTTAAAGTAAATTTTTTTCAAACTATCATACTGAAAAAAGAGGACAAGAACATGAGATGATCCACAGTACGAATGTGGACCACAGGCTTGGCCATTTGACACAGCAGACCAAGAAGTACACAGTAATTGTATTCAGTAATGTGAGTGGTCTGTTGTGTAACCAATTCCTGTCAGATTCCTGTCCTTCCATCCACAGTGAGCAAGTCTGTTGGTTAACAGAGAACTAGTTGGAGTGGGGGTGGGGAAAAAGAGAAGTTCAAATAGTGGCTGCAAATGTTGCTGTATCTCACCACCTGAACGAGGTTAGTTGGTTTGGCCAAATCTCAGCTGAATCCCAGGTTTTATTTTTTAATACTGATACGGTGGTGTGATTAAAAATAGAATACTAGGGTAGCACTTGAGATGCGAGCTGTGTAATGCTGTGGTCACGTGATCTTATTCCAGCACTGCCTTATGCTCAAATTCACCAGCTATGCTTTGTGCATGATGGTTTTTGGTATAAACTGCAGGATAGATATAGCTTGCGGTAGTCGAAACTTTCTTTAGAAAAGAGAATGTTTCAGCAAAGGCCATGTCTAAAGTTACTGCTGCTCCCATTGAGGGTCAGTGCAAAGCAGTATTGCTGTTAGAAACTGGGAAGGTTTTCAAAGTGCTTTATTTGGAACCCTCCCAGTTTTATGAAACGGGGAAATGAAAGAAAAAGACAAATAAATGTAACTTTTTAAAAAGGGAAATAAAATTGTTCCAATCAAATTTTCTGTTCTTTCGAGAAGCTGAAAAGTTTGAGGCTAAATAATGGAGCCTGAAACTTTGGTACTGTTTATTGTCTCCCTTCTGGTGGTTGTGTGCGTTCTGTGCCCTGCTGTCTGACACTAAAGCGAGGGGTTGCAGTTATTGCCCATCACTAGTACATACTCTTAGTATTTTTTCAAGACAATGCCTTTTATTTTCTAGAATTTCAAAAACAAAGCTGTTTCTAGGTCCATCTATTGTTAACAGGGCACGTATGTAATTTCCTTTTTGTGTGGCTCGCATATGAATCATCTGTCTTGTGTTTGCGCAAATGCGCATGTGTTTGTGTATGTGTGTATTCTGTATATGTCTGCCTGCGAACAAATTACTGCTTTGTGAGGAGGGGTGGGATGGAGTGAAGATTAATTGAAGATTTCAATATCAACCATTGGTTTGGGAGGGGGCGGAAGCTGGAATCGGCCACCTCACTCTTGTAAGCTGCTAGCCTAGCCTCCCAATACGACAGCTGTCAAATTACTTGTCTGGGGCATAAAATATTGCTGAATTGATTTGGACTGGGGTTGAATGGGTTTCAAATGCCTATTAACTGCAAAATGTCAAAATTTTTAAACTTTTATAATGAATAATATTCAAAGTGCTTTCCCAGCAGTTGTTCTATTAGCATAGAATTTTTTTTGTAAGGTGAGTTTTCACACTACCTGGCATTTCACTTGATCAATGGACTGACATTCAATTGATTTATGGTGTTTATGAACATGATGCAATTGGAACAATTGACTGAGATTCTTCAGAATATATTTGTTCTCTAAATAATAAAATTCCAACTCACTGCTAGTTCTTGGATTTATATGCTGCACGCTGCAGTATATAGGATCCTAATCCAATCTTGATCAGCCAGGCAGCAGTGGCTCTACAAGTGGCCTCTGTGCCCTGCACTAGGGAGTGGAATATTTAGCCAGGGGTTTTGGAATGAATATAGGCTCAGTTTTAATCCTGCTTTTCTTTTTGATTTCCCTTTCCTCATCTACTTCAGTTAAACAACCTGAAGATGCATGTCATTCAGCTCGCACAACAGCTGGACAGGGTACTGTCTGGAACTGTACCCAAGCTGAAGTTAAATGCCTTCATGAAAGCAAAGGCGAAGGTGGAGAACTTAAATCCACCCAGCCCCCCTGCCCATTCCAATAGTTATTTCTGTGAAAAGACAAAATATAAGTATTTGCATACCTAAAAGCACAGTTGGGTTAATCGAGCCAGTAATTGTTTTGTTTCCTAGCCAGAATTACAATCAGGCAACTTTTTTTTTAAATCAAGCTCTGGTTTTGTTTCTTGCAGTTATTAATTTTGAAGCCAAAAAATCTAGTTTACAAAATTAGCAAACATAGTAGGCTACAGCTGAAGGCTAGCACTGCTATGAAATGCTTTGTGCAACATTCTGGTGTTTGTGGGGTTTGGACTTGAGAGTCATTGCCAAGGAGGAAAATGTGTTTGCAAACACTGGTATTTACAGACAGAATGAAATAAAGTAATAAAGTCAAAACTAGCCTTGTGAGCAGCACTGTAGAAGAACTGCCATGTTCAGTTTGCTCAGACTGGAGGAATCAAAATGGACTTGAAGAACATTGGATACTATGCATTATCAGCAAAAGATAAGTGACCACTATTGGTATGCTGAATAAAATCAGGGTGCAGCTCCACACTATAAGAGACGGTTTGGGTCAATGAAATTTGTGGATGGGAAGCAGATGATAAAGGTAGGGTGGTTTGGGGAAACACCCTATTTGGTAAAGCTAAATGAGAATCCTAAATATGCTGAGAATCTTGTTGCCTTTACATGTTGTGAAATCTTTCTCAAAGTATGGATGAAGTCTTGAATGAACAAAGATTGCCCTGTTGTGTGAATTGACATTCTGACATCTGCTAATGCAAAGACTACAGAATAATGATGATACTGCCTCCCTTCAACAGTGTTGATACCTGACCTCTGCCTTTACCTTTCCATACAACATTTCCAAGATCGGGCTTTAACTGTGTTTGGAATCGTCATAGATCTGTGTAGGACAGTTGCCAATGTGCAGCACCATCCAGAATTTTGGGAATTTTTTTCAAAAGAAATAGCTTGGCCCATAGGAAAGAGTATATAAAAATCAGTGACACAAACAATATAAGGCAATATTGGCAGTGATTGGAACCAAGTACTATCATTGGACCTGCCTTGTACTCCTTTTGGTCAGTTTAAAAAAAAGTTAGCTGCCAGCAGAAAAAGGATAAATACCAAGTAGTAATATATACAAGGAGTAGGGTGTCTGTTTTAGAAAATGTGTGTTCTGTTTCACAACACCTGTTAATCACCACAGATATTGTAGAAAGCAAACATGAAATCATCGCAGAAATGCAAAATTGGTCCAGTTACTTTTCGATTGTTGTGAAAAACTTCTGTTCCGTTGTGAGATCAATTGCTAGTCAATGAATTGATGAAGGCAGCTGTGCTCTGCACTCTGTTTCAGGCCTTTTAGATATTATAGGGCCTTTTTTTGTTAAAGAAATTATCTTAATCAGGACCTCTGTCATGACTAAGCTGAATTCTGTCTTTCGTTGCATCAGATTACTGGATTTTTTTTTTAAACCAGTCTTTTAGAGAGACAATTGTGCAGTTTTCATAAACAATAAGCCAGTGACCTCCATCTTAATTCATACCAACTTGATTTGGGCTTTTAAAATAGACAGATCTTGGTGATGTACTGGTATGCCAAGGAACTTGGCTTTACTCTGGAAGTAGCTGGGTCAGGGGTTTCTTTTTAATACAAAAAAGGCAAGTCCAGAAGTACATTTAGCAAAATGGCCAAACAAAGTGAAAACGGACATTGAAATTCATACTTAAAAGTTTTTTTTAAGCTGTTTATATTGAATCTAAAGGCAACTTGCATCTGAATTGTGTGAAACTTGTCAGCAGAAGACAGCTGTACTTTAGTGGTTATAATGGAACGTGGTACATATAGAATTTAGCTGCTGGAAATATTGTGGGACCTTCAATAATGTCATGAGGGGTTTGAATTGTTTTGTGATTACCATTGACATTACAGAAACTTGAACAATACAATGTGTGTGACATGTATAGTATAACTTAGGATTGGGAGGAGGCTTATTTGAAAAAAAATTGCAACTTTGCTTTGCAGCTTTTAATTTGCTTCCAAGTATCTCTCTTTAAATCACTTGTCTTTTTTCTCATGTATGGTAGAATGTAACTTGAAGGAATGGGTTATTCTCGTTTGTTGAAGATAATGTAGGTGGTCCCTAATTTAAATGTAAAATGGCCTCCTTATCCATTTTCACTACCTTTCTCTCTTCTTCCCTGCCCAGACGTTAGCAAATTGGAAGGTTGGGACAATACAGCCAGTTGACCTCTTGAACTGCATTGAGGAGTTGTGCTTCAGTATTGTTTGCCATGTCTTTTGTTTTAATTCTGCAGAGAATATTACAGACTGAACTTGGGACTTGTAGTGAACTGGCTGTCAGTGTTGACTTTGCTACTTGGCATTCTGATGTAGCAGCAAGACAAAATGGCTAAGTATACCACCACCTTCCCTTCACAGAAAAATGGTTGATAGGATGATTGCTGAATAGAGAGGATTTGTAGAACTCTTCAAACATTGTTGCTGTGGCAGCAGGTCACATTGTAGCTTCACCACACTTAATGTGTTTGGGTTCAGTTAATAAGCAATAATAAAGGGGGTCATGACTTCCATTATACTGTGTGGTTTGTATATTCTTGCTACAGGGATGGAACAGCCCAAATAAAAACAGCCTAGTAACTGAGATGTTGGATTCTTGACGTGTTGTATTTCCCGTTTGAAGATGTTCAGTTTATCTGAAGTATAACACATACTATTCTCATGTAATCTGTAAAAGCAAAAGAAACTTGCTAGGAAACTTGATGTTCACAGCGTGAATATTCAGGGTAATCATTTAAAGTATTTTAGAATGTACTTGTGTATCTCAGCACTGAACTGTACCATACTTATACAGGGAAGGAGGGAGGAAGAGAACAAAATCAAATAACTTACAAGCTAGTCTTTTAAATGAGCTTAGACCACTGAACAATGAGTTTTGCTGAAAGACTCAAGTCATAATGTATAGTGTAGCTTCTGTAGTTCCTTTAGGTTTATATTATTGGTTTAGCACAATCAATGAGTTTTATTTGTGTGCAAGTACATTAAGTATATTAATATTTTTCCACATTTGCACCCCACCCCCACCCCCCCCCCCCCCCCCACCCCCCCAAACAACTTTCCTGATATCATGCTATTGTGGTTCTCTGTTGTGTGAAGGCCAGCAAAAGCACCAAGGATGCTTATCAAACCGGTAACGTTCACAAGTTGCATTTCAGCTTGTTATGCAAGGAGTATGCTGCTTTATTGCTATTGATGCAGTTTGTTTTTCAACTTCAGCAAAATATCACCCTTCTGTCAGCACTGATTTACTCCAGTTCCTCTGATGATTTCTAAATCAGTCCTGCTGCTACTTCTAGGAACGTGATGCATTTAAGAGTTGCCCCGATTCAGAAGGATGAGTTTAGGAAACCAGCCTGGTTTTGTGGTTTGAATATTAAGCTTGCACCTCATTTATAAATGCAGACAAATGTCTGCAGCTTTTACCTGACCTGTTTGTTTGTGTGTGTGTGACATACAGATTTTTGTAGAAAAAAAAATTATCCATTCATTTGGACTTTGTTTTCTTGTGTTTCTTGGTGGGTACAGATGGATGGTTATGCCACACACTTTTGTGGTTGCAGATTTCTGTTTTGAGAAGATGCTTGTCATTGAACTTGAATGAGACAGTAGCAAATTACAGGAGCTTGAGTAATTTGATTGAGATATATTAAACTTCAGCTTGTTTAATTTATAAACTCTGCTGTATAGTCTGGGGGTTCTTTAAAGGGCATAATCACCCCAAAATCAAAAGAAAAGTAGTAAATGGTTTATTTGGGCATATGATGCCATGACACAGTATCACCCATCTGAAAACTTGTTACAATGAAATTGTAGGTCTGAGGTCTCTGGAAATGCACAATTGGTCAGTCAGCAGCTGAAAGAGATCTGTAAATGTCTAAATGGGACATCATTTAAACCAGAATGGTTATTCAATCAAAAACAGTTGAAGAACTTATTGAAGGAATTGCCCCTTTTTAAGCTTACAAAATGCTTCCTCTTACATTCTCATCAGGATCTTGCATACTGTTGCACTCCAGTTGATGGAAATGGCACACATTTGTGTTGCTATAAGGTTAGTGATGTAACAACTACTAGATGAGTCACACATCTAAAGTAAATTTGATTGTGACTATCAGGTTATTGTCGGGTAAGATGTCTATCACTGTATTTTGTCTTTATTTACAGGCAATGTACACAATGTAACATTTGTGGGGTTTGGTGTTAACAGCTGCTGTTTGTTTTGGTTGAATTTATTAGACCTTCCTATTTGCATGAAGGCTGGGAAAGATGTGCAAATACTGTTTTTAATTACCTGTAACATCTTTATCAACAAATAGATGCTCTTGCTATTGTCCTTTTTTTGGTTTTTATATTTTACCCCACAAAATCGTCTGAACCCCTTGAAGCAGCTTTTTTTATACAGCGTTCAGCAAAAGAAAAGATTTTGGTCTGAGTGCTGGATGTATTCTGTACAACTTCTGTTTATAACTGGCAAAGTTAAGTATATTTTGAGTAAAATTTTATAAGTTTAGCCTCAACAGTTTGGCCTTATTTTTGATGTGTTATGCTCCTTGTCTTATTTGAGGAACATTTATTCATGTAAATAGAGTTGTTTGAGTCATTATGTTTTTGTGTGACGGACAAGAGATTTCAACAAGTATCCAAGACGAAGAATATGTGAGGATTATCTAATCTGCAAGGCTTCTTCTGCCAGATTTCAGAACTTCAGCATAACTCAACCAGCTAATTTCCTTCCTGCACTGGTTAAGTGTTATTTTTCCACACTCTGATTCTGCTGAAACTCTAATTCTCTCTAGGTTTGCAGTTGAAAAGGGGAAAAAGTGAACTCTGAACATTTTTTTTTTGTTGAATCTAAAACACTATCCCATCTTTCATTTGCTGACAAGTGTGATTTTTCCATTTCCATATATGTTGCTGATTCTAAATTCAGTGAAGACTACATGGAATAGAATGTAAGCTAAGAGACAAAGATGTTAAACAACTTTGAATTGGAAAATGGGATGCACCTACAAATAACTGAAGATGAAATGCAAGATTGTGAAACACTGAGAAATGAGCAGAAGACCAATCACTACTATTGAATAGTCAATTAAAGTTACTGACGATAGTGCATAGATGCTTTTAGCAAGATAGAAGAGAGATGTGCAACTCCTGACCATATCTTTGCAACTTTCAAATGTGCACTTTATTGGCCTGTTTTTCGGATTGGGAGGAAAAAAAATAAACTCCTCTTTCTGCCAAGTAAAAGCCAGTTCACACTTTTATGTAATACAACATCCCTTAGCACTTCCTGACAATTTTCAAACAAAATTTGACATCAAGGGCACAGATGTCAGATCAGTGTGATATTTGGCCAGAGATATGTTTTAAAGAATGCCTTGTAAAGAGGAGCAAAGTAGAGTGGAAATTCTAGAATTTTAGCGTTTGAGCAATCCTCTTAAGGATAGTGTCATGAATACAGGATAGTAGCAGCTAACCCATGAACATGATATAAAGCTGTAACACTTCATAATACATGGATGAATAGACTTGTATTATTACCTAGATTTGCATTAAAATGTGAATTATAAGAACTTATGGTATTTGTTGAATAATGACTTGCAATTACAAACTGTCTTGACCCCTTTTGTGACTTATTAATCAGAAAATTGAAAATGAGCTACAAGAGGAAATATCTGAATGGTGATTTTAAAATGTGGTGAAAAGATGAAGCAACACCTCTAATGGAAGGAACTGGGAAAGCACCGTAGAGGATTGTCAAGTATTTGGAATTCATCCCCCCCTTTATTGTTTATTTTCCTTTTGCAATAATCTGCACTTTATAGGCAATAAATACATTTGGTTCCCTCCAGTAGCAAGATCATCATTTTCCTTACAAAGTAGTTGCTCATATTCTAATCATTTTCTAACTAGGTTCAGGCATAAAGAATAGCTAAATGTCAGTGCTACTGCTATAGCAATTTTCTGCCCCATTTTGTTGGCAGTAATAATGTAGTACCAACCAGTTCCAAACATTGTATCAGAGATAGTAGGAAAGTAGTAAGAGATAGTAGTTCCAAACATTGCCTGCTAGTGCTGTTGTTTGTCAATGTGATCCACTCCTGGCCTTTTTCAAAACATACAATTCTGTCGATCCAGTGTTGTACCGTGGCGTGACGTACTGTCAGAGGTGCTATCGTTTGTACGAGACTTTAAATCAAAGCTTTATCTGCTGTACGTGGATATAAGATGAAGACTAACACATACAGAACACGTTTCATGCACGTAATTCGGAGGACTTCAGAGTTATTAGGCAGAATTGAGTTATGTTTCCACTTTCAATTCAAATAAAACATTCAAGTAGTTGTATTTCTTGAAAAGACAATAATATCTTTATTGAAGTTTTTAAAAACTCTTAAATTGACCTTACCCTTCTTGAATCCTATAGCTGAACTTGGAGGAAATCATTCTTGCTCCACGTGAAGCAAGAACCTGCTGCATAACTTGATCATTTCTATACTTTAGCCATGTCAGAAACAGACACAAGAATTACCTTCTATTTTTGGAGGATCGGGGAGTTCGTGGAACTTTTCCATGGAGCCCCGGTTGGGAATTTCTGGTCTTGACACCCGATGGTGACGAAGACAGTGTGTGGGAGAAATGAATGACTATTACGGTCCCCGTCACCACAGGCAACGCCCTCCATGACACCAAAGGGACCAAAGTCTGTAGGACGTCCTCCTCTATCCCGTGATTCCGAGGGGGCCCAGCGTCGGCGGCTCCTCCACGATCCCGTGATGCCATGCGCGCCTGAGCCGGCTCCTCCGCTGTCCCGTGATGCCCTGCGATTGTTGGGTGCGTCGGCATTGGGTCCACCTGTAGTCGGTGGTGCGGGGGGGCGCAGCAAGATGGCGGAGAGTGATTACGAGTCGGTGCTCTGTGTGAAACCGGAGGTTCACGTTTACAGGATCCCGCCGAGGGCAACGAACCGGGGCTACAGGTAATGTTCGCGGAGCCTTCGGAAAGAACGGAGTGTCATCTTCTATTTGTGATAAGTCACGATCGGAGCGATTGTGGAAGTTCCCGTTTCCACTGAAGGAAGTGTGCGCGAGTAAAGAGTTTCACTGAGGGAGGAGAGAGAGCAGACTAACTTCAAGATTGGGGGAATAAAGGAAAAGTGGATCATCAACTGATGACAAACGGGCGAAAAGTCATGGATGGCAATTGCGTGATCCCATGGGAGTGAAATATATTCAATCCAAAGGGGATGAAAAGATCTGATCTGCCCTGAAATTTAAAGCATTAACAGTGAAAGATATATAGTCGCTTAGAACTTAGATGCCTTAATTGCATATTGAATGGTTATTGAACAATGTTGTTAATTCCGTAGCTGATCACTTCGTCCTCGGCTGGTTCGCGGCTTCAGGCTGGTGTCTACTTAGGGTCGAGGGTTCTGCCATGGGTATTCATATGACAGGCCGAATCTCGATCCACAGATCTTTGGACACATAAGTACCCCCCAGATAGTGGGATCCAAAGTGCAGCATTTCCTTTTTTCTCTGCCTCATAATTGTCGCTATTTGATAAATATCATCTGCCTTTTGACAAAGTATCCACAGAACCATAAACGTCACTGAATAAGCCGTGCGAATCAAAAGTTATTAATATCTTCATTTTTTGCCTATCGCCGAAAGGTCACCATTAAGGTTCTTAACACTAGTTAGAAATAATCTTATTGTTGATCACTAAGAATAGCAAATTCAGAATCATATCTAGGCAAAGAATAAGCATCTTCAGAATAAACCAAAATATGATCTAGTATCATTTCATAAGGAATCTAATCCCAAATCATTTGGGTGAAACCATTGTATTTGGAATCATGATCTGGACAACTAGCTGCTTCAAATGAAAGCTCTGCTTGTAGTCAGCTTGCTTATTCAAGATTCAAATGTGTGACTGTTAAAAGTGGCTTTGCAGAAATTTGAACTATTTGTGGTGATCTTATCGTGTAACTGAAATTAACTAGGTTTATGCCAAATTGAAGGTCAAAGCTGAGGTGGCAGAATTGTGCATAGGGCAGATGCCAATATGTACATTTGATTGAAAATAAGGCAGTGGAAACGTGTGTGGATAAGTCCTTACATTTATGATCAGCCTGATTGTATATATAGAGTGGCTGCATGTTCTCAAGTGTGTCCAAAAGTACTGACCTATATTACCTGTGCTAATAAGTTGGATGAAATTATTACATAAGTGCTTAGAACAGGAATGACTCTAGACTGACAAATATTTGGCAAGGAACCACTTCCAGATACTGGCAATATCTTCAACAGTTTAACCCCAACATTTTCAGCAAAATAATGGACTTAATAAAATGAATGGCCTCCTTCTGTGTTATAATTGATACTGACCCTTGTTTTTAAAACCTTGTGATTTTTTTAAAAAGAAAAATGCCCCCAAGGCCATTGGAAACAGGTGTGGTACAAAGTTGAATCAGAAGTGCTGCAAGGGGAGGTGGGTCTGATTGGTTTAGAGGAGGCTTTGAAGGCAGGATATGAAGAACAGTATATGGAGGTGGCTCTTGCTGGTTAGTAGGCCAGTGGGGAATGTACAAAACTTGGAAGTGTTTGTGCAGTAAAGAATGATTATAGAATGTACCTTTTCCTGTTTAAATACACAGTGAACTCAGAAACTGACCCTGAGCTTGTTATCGAGTGTAATGTTTGGAGGAAATGTTTCATGCTGTCAGACAGGATGCTGATACTATAGAATCTGGATTTTGAACTTTGTGCAAGGTCTCGCTGGCAGCATATTCAGAAAGCGTATCAAACTGCTTAATAATCGTGCAAAATCTAGGATGTGTAACAAGAAGCAGTTTGTAGTAAGTGCAAGATCAGAGGTTTGGAATGATACTGCATGCATTAACAACTGTGACTTGTATTTATAAAACATCTTAACACATTAAAACATGCCATGGTGCTTCACAGGAATGCTATCAAACCAAATTTAACAGATTGCCTATAATGGGATATTAGGATAGGCAAAAACATGGACAAGGGAGAATGTTGGTGAAGAAGCAGTGGAAATGGAGAGATTTAAGGAGGGACTTTCAGAGTTCAGGGCCCTGGTAACTGAAGGCACACCCAAAGTTAGTGGTGCAATTCAAAGAAACTGCACAAAAGGCAAGAATTGGAGGTAAGTGGATGCTGTGGTGGTGGTAGGGCTGGAATAGGTTAGAGATCAGAGCAGCAAGGCTGTAGAAGGATTTGAAAGTGAGTGAAATTGTTAAATTCAATGTGTTGCTTTTTCGAGATCCTATGTAGGTCAGTGAGACAAAGGGAGTTAGTGCAATTTAGGATACAAGCAGGAGAATATTGGATGTGCTTCAGTTTATAGGGAGTGAAAAATTGGGTGGGGGAGGTGTGGTGAAGACCTGGAGTGTCTTGAAATAGTCACGGTTCAGAAAACCTGCTGAGAAAGAAATCCTATTTTTATGCGAATATGTTGTTTGACCTTGTTGCAACAGAGCTGCTACTAAGGAACCAGATCCTCCAGTGCTCAGTAGATAAAGTTTCCAATGAAATGAGGATTCTGTCTTTGGAATTGCTGCACAATAGCACGGCAAACCTTCTGCCTTCCATGCAGTGCAATATATGTTTATCACAATAGATCTGTCATGGAGTAATTTAACAGCATGGGCTCCAATAAAACAGCCAGAAAGTGATTACATTTTAAGAAGTCAGTGCAAGAGTCTTAGGCTTTGGTCTTTGGAAATCCCAGCCAGATTCTGGGAGTTTTATTTTTAAGCTTTGTGTAACTGAAAATATTTACTGTACTGCACTCTATTTAATTGTATGTGTGAAATGCTTGGTGAGTATTATCTGAATAGGCAAAATTATACCATTCATCCACATTCATGATATAGGGAAATAGAATTCTAGCCATGCTGGAATTGTCAGTCACTGCATACATTTCTGCTTTTTATGTTGATTGAGAATATATCTGGGGAACAATATATTGAACGAACAGCAGGTAACTACGAACCAGAGATTTCTGTTCAGTACTGTTGTTGTGACAAGGCTCCAGCCATTTCTTGCATTTTGTCCATCAATAATGTTGCTGCCTACCCATCTCTCTCACTCCATGTCGCTGCTACCCCAATTCCATTGCTGGCTTTGTAACACTTTCAATTGGACACAGGCAACTAACTCACTCGATTGGGGAATGTTGCTAGTTCATAAAAATGATATGGACAAGAATTGTAAAATTGTATCAAGATTTATATATATAACAGATAAATATTTAATTCGGCACATCTAATAGTACGCTGTACTGAATCCCATTAATTGTGAGCAAATGAAAAGTGACAGTCACCAGCGGAATTCACAGACAGTTTGCTGCTCCAGCTGGTTAACATCACACTGCTGATCCCTCTGTATGAAATCACAGAGCGTATGTTTCTGGTAGCATATTGAGATAGCCAGTGTCAGTGCTATTGTTGTTGCTGCAGAACATGATTGTTGTTAACGTTTTACTCTGTTTCAACTCTTTACCCTTCAAACGGATGCACTAGCTGTGTTAATCCCAGCGCGTGTTCCTTTGCTGAATCATTGTCTCTGTAATGTGGTATGCCTTGACTGCAATATGGTGGCAGAGTTTTAGTGTTTCGCCCCACTTTTAGTTACCACCTGGTCAAGAAATTACTGACTGATGCATGGTCCCCAACAACCTGAGCCAGATACTGATATTTTGAGTGTGAACAGGATGTTGACTGTGGAGATGGGTACTGTCTGAACAATCCCACTTAACTGCCTTTTCTCTGTTGCCTAGCATAGTGCGATATCAAATGGTAGCTGCAGACCATTCAGTAATGGTTTCTGTCACTATACTGTTATCCCAGGAGTCTGCAAAAGATCTATCCTTGGTTCTAGTTACATGCTACCTTGAACAGCATCATCCGAAGACTTGGAATCAATTTCTAATGTAGATTAAAATCACCTAGTTATACCTCTCCGCCAATCTCCTTGATTAAGTGGAGTGGCCATGCTGAATTGCCCATTGTGTCCAGGGATGTGCAGCATAGGTTGGTTAGTCACGGCAAATGCAAAGGTAGAGTAGGGGTGGGTCTGTGCGGGTTGCTCTTTGGAGGCTTGGTGTGGACTTGATGGGCTGAATGGCCTGCTTCCACACTAGGGATTCTATTACTACTTCAGTGCTTCTTTGCTTATCCAGCTTCGTTATTAAGTGACCTTTAATATCCTTCAGTCAAGTGTTAGAGTCGTGCTGGACAGTTGAGCGTGACGTACCATGGCAGCAGTAGTTGCAAGCAGCAGCCACAAGTGTGTTGTTGCCACATATTCCAGCCTTTTCCGTCCCCACAGTTCCGGTTGAACTACATTGGTCACAACCTTGGCATTGAGCTTAGCTGACACCCTTTCATCAGAAAGTAAAATGTCTGCTTGTGCTTATGTAAAATTTCCTTTGTTGTTGCCCTTGCCTCAGTGCCAAAATCTTTCTGCCTCACCTTGGTGTATTTCCTTTGGCTATGCGTCCATTTGCGCCTTTGTGAAGTGGTTTGATATGATTTTCTACATTAAAGGCATTACATAAATGCAGTTGCTGTGCCTGTCCAGTATCAAGGTCAATGGATAATCAAGTGTGAAAATTGGCTGATACTTCTTATCCTCACTCTCGATTCTCGTCAGAGATTTTGGGGTTAATTGTAATGGCTGTATTGTCAGTCGGGATGCTTGATTCTCCTCTCCATGATGCAGTGTCTTTTATTTTACTGCATGATAGAGTTCATGCTATTAGGCATTTTGTTTTCTTAAGAGATGTTGACTTTGCAAATTTATTTGCCGAATATAATATGATTGTAGAGTACCAAATAAGCAGTGTGATTATTTGCTGACATGGCTTTACCAAGAAGGACTAAATCAGTTTGAACCGTGCTGGATCAGTTTGAACTTTGCATGCCATCTATGTTTCATGTGATCAGAGAAACTGTGGCGTAGAGGAAGAGTTAGAACAAATGGAGGAAGGAAACGCCTAACAAGAAGTAAAGCGTGCAAGGTTTCGTTTTATCTAGAGAGCTGAGCAAAATAATCCATGAAAATCTCAATGAAAGGAAAATCAATGAAAAGATACTACTTGTAAATAATTCAGCATAGACTACATCAATAGCTTTGTGATACAGATCGGAAACTTTGTGACTCAACTGTTTATACTATTTCAGGCACAGGGTATTGATATAGAAACCAGAATAGGCCATTCAGCCCTGAAAACTGTTCCGCACTTAAAATTGGTCATGGCTTAAATGTCAGGAATAAATAAGCATTTGTTTTTGACATTTTGTCCACTGGTCCAGTTGCTTCATTCACCAGTTAATGTTAAAGTGAGCCATAGTGATCACAGAAATTCCAAGCTCTCCTCCTCTCTCTCTATTTCAGACTGTTCCCCCCAGGATCAAATTTGACTTGGTTCCACACAGGTTTGCTAAGTTCTGAGATGGCAGGAAAGTCCAATGCTCAGTTATCAGTTTCTGCCAAATACAGGACAGCCATGCTAGGATGTTTGGGTTGATGAGCTGTTTGGATGTTTGTATGCTGTTTCTGAGGTTTGACTTCACAATAGCGCGCTCCCAAAATGTCTCAATGTGTTTGATGCCTTCTCAAGGAGCTTTCAGAATTTTAGTCAGTTAGAAGCCAGGTATTCCCACGAGTCAGTAGGAATGTTTGACCTCTTCAGGAATGCTTGCAGGGTATCCCTGGGAAATTTCCATTATGCACCTAGAAGTATGCTGCCGTGACTGAGTTCTGACATTAACAGTTGCTTCGGGAGTCTGCTATCAGACATATGAGCAAGATGTCCTGCCAGTTGAGCTGATTTTAATTGATTAGTGTCTCCATGTTGGGCTTGTAGTCTGCTATTGGAGCATCATTCTGCTACTACCAAGTGTGGGAGTAAAGTGTGTTACAGTTGGGTTGTTAAAAGGGGCGTCTGCCAGAGTTCCTGTTTCTGCTGGCCACATACTCTTTATAGCTTTGTTTCATTGCAATGAAATAACTAGTCAAAGTATTTGCATGAAGGATGAGCACTTGAGCAACCTCCTGCAGAGCATCTTCAAAGGATCACTGCCTTAGAGAGGGGAGGTGTTTTTGATATATTAGAGGGTGTAACATTTCAATGCATTGAACCAAATTTGGCATTTCTGAGAGATATGGCAAAGTTTGTGTACAAGTGGAGGGAGCTTTCTCTTTGCAAGGCATATGTTTTATATTAGTTGCAAATACTAAAAGGAACACTTGCATTTGTAAAATGCCTTATTGTCCTCTAAACTTCCCATAACATTTCACAGCCAATGGAATATTTTTGAGGTGCAGCTATCGATACCTTCAACAGTGCAGCTTCCCTTGGTGCCACATTGGAATATTGGTCCAGATTTTTAAGGTTTTGGAGTAGGCATTTTTACTCATCCATTCCACAGGACAGCCAAGGATAGGCAGATTGGAACTGAGGCATAACGAAAGGAAAAGAAACAATCCCAAGGACTACAAGCTGTCAAACTGAATATGCAGATGGGACTCTTCCAGGCTTCAAAAGTCAGATAAGTTCCTGGAAGTCTAAAAATGTTTTAAACAAATGGTTGCATGCTACTCCATGTAATGCACTATGCTTTATCCTTTATCAAAAGTCCTCCATAGTGGCCTCTGTTGGAAACATGCCAGGTTGAGGGTGAGGAAGTGGAGAGTGTGCAGGAGCAGGCTGTGGAAGAATTTCCTGTGAAACAGGATGCAATTGTTTCAGTGAACTTAGTCAAGTTGAAAGAAGGAGGCTTGTGAGGAAGGTTTGAGGCTCATGCAGGATCTCTCCATACTGAAACGGAGTCAAAACGGACTGACTTTCAACATTTGAGACTTTGGCACTGTTCTGGTTCAACACCTGGAGGTTGATCACTGCTCTTTCGACATAAATTTCACTTCACACCTCTACCAGCTATCCCAACTGTTGTTATTTTGCACCTGGGCTCTTGCTTCCACTTGCATGTTGCCCAAGCCCACAAGTGGCTAATTATCAAGCAGCTGCTCTGCTAATTCAGCCTTTACCCTAGACAGAGGAAAGCTCCAGCTCGAGGTAATTGTGTTCCAGTCCCTGTAAAGGACAGTGTTCCAGTAAAGGACAGGAAAATCTCATGGGTCTATGTTTACGCCATGCAACTTGGATCATATATGAATGCAGCTATGATTAGTCTGTCTGTACCTGAACAAAGAAAATCATTTCCAGCGCATATCATTGAAAGGCTTTTTCACTTTGAGGTGTTTCTTCAGGGTCTGAAAGCAGAGTTACAATCTGGATTTAGAAGCATCAGCATCTGAATTATCTGCAAACAGGAAACCAGGGACCCAACAGAAATCAAGTGTTCCGTTGTCCCAGAAGACATCAGTGAGCTTCCTCCGAACCTTGATGATGAACTTGGGAAGGATTAAAATGACAAAATGGTACCATGCTTGACTCCATCTCTGGAATCAGACTTGAACCCGCAACCTTTTGACTCGGAGATGAGAGTGTTACTTACACTGCCAGAGTTGAAACCTGAACAGCTAGATTAAGCAGTAGAATTTCATCATTTTGCTAAATAACTTTATGCCTTTGACAATTGTGAATTCACCCTGGGCTGATTGTGCTAGGTTGGGAGAAATGATTCTTTCTTCTATTTTCCGGAACTGTGAACATTTTTGAAAGCTTCTCTATCACAAATTCTTGGTGGCAGAATGAGGAAGAGAAACTCAAAACCATTATTAGGATGTTCTTGGATCATGTTTCATTGTATCTTGTTTGTCTTGGGAGGTCATTGTATCCTGTTTTTTTTTTTAAGATTTCACAATTTTGTGTGCAGAATATGAAGCTGAGTATAGATAGAGGTACCATAGAACAATTGAATTGTTTAACAGTTCATGCTAATGAAAATTAAGCGACCTGGCACACTGCCTATCCTTCTTGTATTTCTATCTTTGTTTTCAGTAACTGATATACACAAACCCACATGTTCCAAGTAATCTTCTCGAACTGTATTGTTCAGACAGGCAACAATGGCTGAGGAGGAAGATGAGAATTTTTCAAATTCAACTATCCATATTTCAGAAGAAATTAAGCCAAACACAAGTCACATGCCCTGATTTGATCGGATCTGAGCCAAGGCAACAATTTGACATCCCTGGTTTAAAAAAAGATTTCAAAGCATGAAGGATCTCGAATTGTTAATGATACTCAAAGTGCACCCATGTGGACATTAGAGAATGGCACGGCAAAAAATTTGACTCTAATGGTTTCCTACATTGGAATAAACTGCCAATGCTATTTGGAGTTAGATCTGAATAATGACCTGTTGCCTGAGATGGTGGAGGTTTGTCAGGGCTTGTGAACAGTGTCCAACAATGAATCAAGGAAAATCTCTAGGAAAGTTGAGCTGACCAAATCAGAAATAAAGGATTCAGAGAGGATGGTAACATTGGAAAGTTCCAAATTTTCCTATGCTTCGCTCTGAGTGTTCATTAACTGGTACTTGAACTTATACTTTAAACAAATTTGGGTGAGAAAAACATTGGTAATGTAAACTACTTTTTTGTCATGAGTCATCAATATTCTTTATAATATTGGGGTGCTGTTATTTTCAGGTATAGGCCTGTCAATCTGTATTTCCATGTACAAAATTATATTTTGGCCAGTCTGATAATTTGCTAGTTTCCAAAGTAATATGGTGGGAGAATGTTATTATATCTGTTTTACTACTAACTGGAAAATAAACTCCACCAGCCAAGGTTCACCCTGACTAGTGCTGAAGATACTGACCTCGGATGATGGCTTGTTATTTGAATATGACTTAGATTAACTAACATTGTATTGCTCCAAGATATTTCAGATGTCAAGGGATAAGCCTCTAAGTGTGCTTGTGTGTCAAGTGTGAAGGGCTGACTATGTTTGCTGCTGAATATTATCGGGGTCAGTAATACTTGCAACTGTTGAAGTACACAGCAGCACTGATGTGTCTGACCAGAGGATGTTTTATTTTCAAGAAGCATCATTGTAAAGATGTTCTCTTTTCCTGCTCAGAGCTGCAGATTGGAAGTTGGACCAACCTGATTGGACTGGGAGACTCCGGATAACAGCAAAAGGAAATACTGCTTACATTAAATTGGAAGACAAGATTTCAGGTATTTTCTGGAAATCAAAAATTCAATATGCTTGTGAGATAATCAGTTTTCAGTTCAGACAGCATGCTTAGAAAGTCAGAGATTTTACAGCATGGAAGAAGCCCCATTGGTCTATTATACCCATGCCAGTAATCAAGCATTCATCTACTCTAATCCCATTTACCAGCATTTGGCCCCCTTGTATGCCATTGCATTTCAACTGCTTAAGTAAATAGCTCTTTTATGTTGTAATTTTGCCTGCTTCTACACCCTTTTAGGCAGTGATTTCCAGATTTCCACTACCTTCTGGGTAAAAATAAAAATCCTCAAATCCCCTCTAGACCTCCTGCTCCTTGCCTTAAAATGTTGCACTCTGGTTATTGACCCCCTGTACTAAGGGAAATGTTCTTCCCTATCCATGCCCCCTCAACTTAATATGCCTCAATCACATCCCCTCAGCCTTCTCCTCTCTAAGGAAACCAGCCCCAGCTTATCCAGTCTCTCTTTATAGCTGAATCTCTCCAGCCAAGGCAAAATCCTGGTGAATATCTTCTGCTACCTCTTTAGTTCAATCACATCCTATAGTGCTGCAACCAGAACTGCGCACACTACTCCATCTGTGGACTATATAATGTTGTATATAGCTCCATCATAATCTCCTTGCTCTTGTATTCAATGCCTTGATTAATAAAGGCAATATCCCATATTCTGCCTTAACCACCTCTCTTTCTGCTTTCAAGGATCTGTGGACATTCACGCAAGATCCCTCTGATCCTCTGTGCTTCCTAGAGTCCTACCATTCAATGTGTCCTCCCTTGCCTTGTTATTCCTCCCAAAATGCATCACCTCTTACTTTTCAAGATTAAATTCCATTTGCCAGTGTTCAGCCCATTTGACCAACCTGTCTACATCATCTTGTTACTTGCTTTGAATTGTCTGCTGAAAGATTCCTCCCAACACCCCAAGAATTAGTGTACACACTGTTCACATCAAATGAACGTCCCTGTTCACATTGCACTTGGAAAACTAAGCTAGTTGCTGCCATGATTTTAACCCATTGCAAGGGAATTTCATGCTCCCTATTATAAAACTTACCCCACAGTATTATCAAATGAAATTGTAGTGCTCACATTCCTGACACCAGAATGCATCGATTATAGATAGCTGGTCCAACAAAATGTATGTGCAGAAAGTACTTGTTCCTTATTGAGTGTGTTTTTGATAACTAGCTGTGTTTAACAGGTGTAACAGTGTGGAGCTGGAGGAACACAGCAGGCCAGGCAGCATCAGAGGAGCAGGAAAGTTGATGTTTCGGGTCGGGACTGAAGAAGGGTCCTGACCCGAAACATCAAGTTTCCTGCACCTCTGATGCTGCCTGGTCTGCTGTGCTCCTCTAGCTCCACACGGTGTTATGTCTGACTCCAGCATCTGCAGTTCATACTATCCCTGAATGTTTAACAGGTATGTTCTGCTGTGAGTTTAAGAACATTGGAGCAATCTACCGGTGGGTAACAAAAGTTATTGCTGAAATGCTGAAGGGAATGGTATTTAACCCAGTATTGTTTGCTTGTTTTTCTCTTCAGGAGAGTTGTTCGCACAATCCCCAGTGGACCAGTTTCCTGGGATTGCAGTGGAGAGTGTTGTTGATTCAAGCAGATACTTTGTCATTCGCATCGAAGATGGAAATGGTAATTCTACCTTGGGATTTTATTCAAGCCTAGTATTGGAAGCTCTTAGCTCTTTAGCGTTACCATAATGCACTGAAGGACATGGAAGTTTGCATTATTTTCACTGCAGGGTAACTAAATTTGTGCATTGTTTTACTGAATTCTGTGGCTTTGGCTGCTTGAGGTGATTCACAACATCTTCAGCTGCATGTGGATTAGTTTGTGCTTCTAGGTCCCGTTATAACACTGTCTACATTGTGATCTGCAGTTACGACTGGAAAATCCCATAATAAGTGAGAAAGAGACAAAACATGAAAGAATGAATTTTTATTGATATCATGCCTTATTGACCAGTTTAGAGTATGCCTAAATGTTTCACATAAAATAAATTGCTTTCTTTCCTGATGTGCACCAATGTTCCATCTAATTTCGATAACAACAACTTGTATTTATGTAGCGCCTTTAATGTAATAATGCTTCCCACAGCGTTTAAAAACCCTCACCTTTGTCTGTCTCATTTACTGTGCTGCATGGTCCCTTTAAAGTTGCCATGCAGTTTCAAAAATTTACATTTTAAAGGAAGTTTATGCCTGATTGCCCCTATGTGGTACCATAAGACCATAAAATACAGAAGCAGAATTAAGCCATTTGGCCCAAAGAGTCTGGGCTTCCATTTGGTCATGGCTGACACATTTCTCAACCCCATTCTCCTGCCTTCTCCTGTACCTTAGGTTCTTGATTAGTAAAGGAATCAATCTGTCACTGTCTTAAAGATAATCAATGACGTGGCCTCCAAACTTCCCGTGGCAGTGAGTTCCACAGATTCACTACTCTGGCTGAAGAAACTCCAACTCATTTCAGTCCTAAGGAGTCATGCCTACACTCTGAGGCTATGCTCTTGGGCCCTAGTCTCTCTCACTTGTGGAAACATCTTCTTCATGTCCATATGCTCCCTCACACTATCTGTCCCCCCACCTATTTTCCCAGTTGTTGCAAGCATGCACAGTTTGGGGGTGCATTGCCATTTGTATGTGAAGATGGTAACTCTTGTGTCCATGGACTGATCCTTCGACTAGCAAGATCAGTTCATCTGATTTGTCTGGTGTTTGACCTCTTGTAGGCAAGACTAGAGTTAGGGTGCAAAATTTAAAAATGAGACTTCTCAGTTTTAAAATGAAGATCAGAGTTTTTTATTTCTTGAGATCATTAGTATATGAAATTTTCTTTCCCAAAAACCAGTTCATTGCATTTCTTTGAGGCACAGTTATATAAATTTTTGAGGGTTATGAGAGCCAGGTAGGAATGTGGATTTGAAACCATAGTCACCACATTAACTATGATCTCATTGAATGGTGAAACAGGCTCAAAGAACTGAATGCTACTCTGGTTCCTAAGACCAGGACAGCAACAGAGCTTTCTACACCTGTTACAGTAGTGTCATGCCCCTGGGCAGAAAAAAAAACCCTCAAATTATGTATCACCTGAACGGCAGTGCCAACAACACTCCATTCCTCCCTCAGCCAAGATAACAAGCTCAAGACCTAGAGTGGGATGCACACAACTCGCAACCTTCAAAAGAGATGAAAGAAAATAATGCATTCATGGCAATTTTATGCTACATTGTACGTTGAAGTACGGGTTGTAATTTTAAAAGATTGCAAGCAAAAATTTCACTGTTGCTTTATATCATTGTGTTCAGTAATAGGGGCTAGGAGGTGGAAACAAGATCATTGCACACATTTCCTTCCTTTGCTCCATATATTATTGAATAAAAAAAAAATACAGTGGCTGTTTTTTTCACTTCCCTTGCTTAAATTCACTCCTAAGTGTGGTAAAACCTATAGACATTACACCTTAAGGGCTTTTGCCAGGTGACTTTATCTAAGGCCACAAGGGAACTGCATACGTAACTGGGTTAAAGCAATTTAAATTTGTGAAGTCTGCAGTCCCTGAGCTCACATTATCAGATATGAGAATTAAATACTGAGCTGTTCTAAGCTGCACAACCTGGTATCTGCATGTTCTTTTTAATCTTTTTTTTAGCATTGGTAATCGCACAAAACAGCAAGATTCATATCAGCAAGTTCATATGGTTCAGGGATGATCTTAACAAAATATTTAAAATGTTAGAGGAATTAAATAGCGTCAGTATATAGAAATTTTTATCTGACAAATGAAATAATAACAGAACATAATTGTTTGGAGCAAACCCAGGTAAATTAAGTTTAAGTGCAGATCAGCCGTGATCAAAATAAATGCTGAAATCGGTTTGATGAGGTTGAATGGCTGACTCTAGTTTCTGTGAGGTTGTCTGTAATATTACATTGATAAACTACTATAAACTGGCTGGAATGAGGGCATGTAAAGTGGAAATTTGAAATATTATATCACTTGAGAAAACCCATTACGTTTTTCAGGGCGACGTGCATTCATTGGCATTGGATTTGTTGACCGGGGAGATGCTTTTGATTTTAATGTCGGTCTCCAGGATCACTTCAAGTAAGTTGCCTGAAATTTTAGTACTGACATATTTTGATTGAGGACTTCAGAGGAGATGGATTAAACGTGAGAACAATAATTGCAAAGGCCTGTCGAAAGTACATGGAGTAAATTGTGTAGGGTTTTAATATCTTAATGACTAGCAAGAGATCATATTTCAACCTTTCAACTTGAAGTGGCAGAAACTTGGCAACACTATCAAAGCTCCAATTTGGAGTCTTACAGGTGTTTATAAAACTGGAATTAGTCAGTATGAACTAAACCATATATGAAGACAATGCAAAAAGATAAACATTTGCTTATTTTAAGTTAAGATCTAATTTTTGTTCTAAGTTGTGGTTTACAAAGCTTCATCTATTCCCAAGCAACAAGCTGCACTTTCTTTCTTTTGTAGATGGGTTAAGCAGCAGAGTGAACTCGCCAAACAAGCTCAGAACCCAGACTCCGGACCTAAATTGGATTTAGGATTTAAAGAAGGGCAGACCATCAAGCTAAATATTGGGGTGAGGCACAGAAGATTTGAATATTAAAATAATTGTGCACCTATCATTTAAAATAAGACCAGATTATGTGACCAAAGGTCAAAGATATCAGCTACTGGAAATACATTTAAATCCGATGTGGGAAGAAGCTCCTTAAAACTGTGATGATGCTTCATGATTGTTATGTTATGTTCTTATTATTCTGAAACTTGGGTTCCTAAGTGGACGAAACCATGTATAACTTTAAGTCTGATTTGTATTTCTACATCACGTGTGCCTAGAAGGGAAGGATATAGGAAAAGAAACTCAAAGAACCTTGGATGCTGGAAATCAGAAACAAAAACAGAAATTCTTGGAAAACAGGTCTTGCAGCATCTGTGGAGAGAAAGCAGAGTTAAGGAAGGATATAGTTTTAGTTTCATTTTTAAGTTCTGAGAGTGGTGCAGGTTATCTGATGTTATGTGCATCTAAGTGAGGTCTTTAAAACCATTGAGATTAGTAATTCAGTGTAAATGTAGAAGAGAGGAAAGAAAATTGACCTTATTGCTTAGCAACAATGTATCCTTTAATGTGGGAGATAGAGATAGATGTGTGGGTTTCTCTCAGAGAAAAATATCATTCGCACAGAAAAGCCCTGTAGTATCAGCAGCAGTGCAATTTAGCAGTCTCCAAAATGGTCAGGGTAGAAGAAGTTCCAAGTGATTTAAAGTAATTAGAGAAAAGGTACAGAAACAGCTGGCTATGAAAGAAGAGTTTAGGAATTCTGTGTTTTTTTTTTAGAAAGGTGAGCTACGTTAGCAGTTTGTTGAAGAGTAGCAGGAAGAGACATCAACTGAATAAAAAAGAAATCAATTTATTATCTTAGCACAGTCAAAACCGTTTCCAACCTGTTTTAATTTTCAGAATGTACGGAAAAAGGAGAACTCATCGACTAAACCACGTCTAACAGGTACTGGAATAGGCCTACTACCACCACCTCCAGGGACTAAAACACCAATTCTGCTGCCACCGCCAGGGTCACAAGGCATGACACAACAGCCTACACAGTCATCTTCTACAGGTAGAGTGCTTCAGAAAAATTCAAGCTTCACTGTGTGGTCTTGTTAACTTGTGCCATGACTGATAATCGGGTTATAAGAAGCTGAAAGGGAAGAAATGGTTATTTCATTTGAGTTACTTTGACATAGAAATATAATCTGAGCAGCCATAAATGATCTTTGAGTTGATAAGCTGCTTGGCTTTGTCTATTTAGACCACTTCCTCAAAGAGATAGCTTGAACAGTAACTTTAATGGAATAAGACAGTTCTGTCTTAACAGTGAAACATTGTGGATGCATTACAGGTTGTGGTAGTATTGAAGATATATTCAGACAATGGGATCAGTAGTATTGCAAGTGTCCTATTTATTATCTGATTTTTTTTTTGACCATGGTTTTGTGGATTGATTCTGTACTCTCTGTGCTTGCTGGGTTAGTTCATGAATCTGGTGTGTGCTGCCTCTGTGAATTCAGCTTTTATTGATTAATTAATTCATTTTGTTTTGGGTAGTGTCTGCTGGTTTCATTTGTATTTATATTACTTATACATTTATATTTTTTACAGAATTACTGGGAGGCTTTGATGCCCCAAATCCATCTCCTGCTTTGGCTTCTCATACTGCCACAACTGACCTTTGGGGAGACTTTGCAGCAGCAACTAGGTTTGTGTCATATCCACTTTAAATTTGTCTTTCGTGTAGGTAAACTAGTTAAAACAAATTACAGTGACTTACTTCAGAGTGTTTTTCTCAATTTGTAGCAGTTTTCAAAGAAAAGGGAACTTTTGTGAATAGTGGTGCTGCCTATGAGCCCAGTTTTGTTTAACACAGTGGAAAAGGCTCAAGGTATTGAATGGATTGCTCATCAATGTTCCCATCTTTCTTAGTGGGATAATGAAATATTCAAGTTTTTTGAGAAGATTTGTTGATGTGGTTGTTGACTTGCTCACCGAGCTGGGAAGTTTG